ACGGCTGGTCCTTTGCATGGTGTTGCATTGAATGAACCATACAAGCCTTTGGATGCTATTGACCTCAAACGTTATGCTGCTAGGAAAAATGAAACCACATACTGCTACGATTTCCCCTTGGTAAGTTGCTTGTAGCTCCTTGTTTTTTCTAACTTTAGTTATGGCATGCTTAAAGAGACCAATTCATACCAGTAATACTGTTTATGCAGGCATTTGAAACAGCGCTGAAGAGATCATGGAAATCAAGTAGCTATGGTGTTAGTGAAGCTAATGAGCACAATCAACTCTATGCTGAAGTGAAAGAGCTTATATTTGTTGATTCGGTTGGAGCATGGGGCACTCCATTGGTTTCAGTTGAACGTCCTCCAGGCATCAATGATATCGGCATTGTTGCTTGGAACATGAAGCTGTCCACGCCAGAATTCCCAAGTGGCCGGGAGATTATAGTTGTTGCCAATGATGTGACATTTAAAGCTGGGTCCTTTGGTCCAAGAGAAGATGCATTTTTTGATGCTGTTACCAATCTTGCCTGTGAGAGGAAACTTCCTCTTATCTACCTGGCAGCAACTGCTGGTGCCAGGCTTGGTGTAGCAGAGGAAATAAAGTCATGCTTCCATGTGGGCTGGTCTGATGATGAGAGCCCTGAACGTGGTTTTCAGTACATTTACCTCACTACACAAGATTACTCACGTCTAAGCTCTTCAGTAATAGCTCACGAGCTGCAACTAGAAAATGGAGAAACCAGATGGGTGGTTGATACCATTGTTGGTAAAGAGGATGGACTTGGTTGTGAGAATCTCCATGGAAGTGGTGCGATTGCCAGCGCATATTCTAAGGCATACAAAGAGACCTTTACTCTGACATTTGTGACTGGAAGAGCTGTTGGCATTGGGGCTTATCTGGCTCGTTTAGGTATGAGGTGTATACAACGTCTTGATCAACCAATTATTTTGACTGGGTTTTCTGCACTAAACAAGCTTCTGGGGCGGGAGGTGTACAGTTCTCATATGCAATTGGGTGGCCCCAAAATCATGGCTACAAATGGTGTTGTCCACCAAACTGTGTCAGATGACCTTGAAGGTGTTTCTGCTATCCTGAAATGGCTCAGTTATGTTCCTCCATATGTCGGTGGTCCTCTTCCCATTATGAAACCCCTGGACCCACCCGAAAGACCAGTAACATACTTCCCTGAGAATGCTTGTGATGCTCGTGCAGCCATCTGTGGCATTCAGGACGGTGAAGGGAAGTGGTTGGGTGGTATGTTTGATAGGGAAAGCTTCGTGGAAACATTGGAAGGTTGGGCAAAAACAGTTATCACCGGAAGAGCAAAGCTTGGTGGAATACCAGTTGGTGTCATAGCTGTGGAAACCCAGACTGTGATGCAAGTCATCCCAGCTGATCCAGGTCAGCTTGATTCCGCTGAGCGCGTAGTCCCTCAAGCAGGTCAGGTGTGGTTCCCAGATTCTGCAAACAAAACAGCTCAGGCATTACAGGATTTCAACCATGAGGAGCTTCCACTGTTCATCCTTGCAAACTGGAGAGGTTTCTCTGGTGGGCAAAGGGATTTATTTGAAGGAATCCTTCAGGCTGGTTCAACAATTGTTGAGAATCTGAGGACATACCAGCAGCCTGCTTTTGTATATATCCCAATGGGTGGAGAGCTACGGGGAGGGGCCTGGGTTGTGGTGGACAGCAAGATCAATCCGGACCACATAGAGATGTATGCCGAGAGGACTGCGAAAGGGAATGTCCTTGAGGCAGAAGGATTGGTGGAGATAAAATTCAGGCCAAAGGAACTGGAAGATTGCATGCTAAGGCTTGACCCAGAATTGATTGGCCTGAATGCTAGGCTGAAAGACATGACGAAACAAAATGCCAGCATCCCAGAAATGGAGACCATACGGAGGAGTATGACTATTCGGATGAAGCAGTTGATGCCTATTTATACTCAGGTTGCCACACGATTTGCCGAATTGCATGACACCTCTGCTAGAATGGCCGCCAAAGGTGTGATCAGTAAGGTTGTTGATTGGGAAGAGTCTCGGGCCTTCTTCTACAGGAGATTGCGAAGGAGAGTTGCTGAGGATGCCCTGGCCAAGGAAGTTAAAGAAGCTGCTGGTGAGCAGCTTTCCCACAGATCAGCATTAGACTCTATCAAGAAATGGTATCTAGTGTCCAAAGGAACTGAAGGTGGTAGTGAAATGTGGAATGATGATGAATCTTTCTTTACTTGGAAGAATGATTGCAAGAACTATGAGAATTATCTTGAGGAGTTGAAGGCTGAAAGAGTATCGAACTGGTTCTCGCATCTTGCTGAAAGTTCAGACGTGAAAGCTCTACCAAACGGTCTTTCGCTCCTCCTTAACAAGGTAATTTTCTTCTAACTTGTTTGAGCAGACCTTTTTTTTTTTGTTTCTATAAGATCAACATCCTGAATTCTTAATTCTGGTACAGATGAATCCTTTGAAGAGGGAGCAGGTCATTGATGGCCTCAGGCAGCTTCTTGGTTGATCGATGGTGGCATCGCATTCGAACTGGAAAATGTCCTCTGTTTTTGCACATAAACTATGTGTTCTTGCAAGATCAAAGTGGAGCATGAAACCCTGCTTAGTTGGGAACGAATTGTTCTGTTTGTAGTCATGTATTTAGCTGTTTATCCTGTAATTAGTTGGGTGGCATTTCTCAATGTCAGCAATCCTGATCAAGTAATTATTTACTTTTCAATCCAAATAATACATGATTTTCATCAGTACGCTTTGTGCTTGTACTATGCATAGGCATAGTAGATAACTAAGTGCATAGTAAAAAAACTATGTATTTAGAAAAGCCAAAATGTCTTATAATTTGAAATTGAGTAGTAGTTAAGATGTTCAGGAAAGCATCCGGTTAACATTTGCAAATTTGAACTACTTATGTGCGTAAGATGGAACATCCGGTGGGTGTAACTTGAGCTGCTTGCTTCTCACCCTACACTGGTCTTGGTATTCTGTCCATTCTTCCAATATGAAGCATCCATCTTCAGGGACTTTCTCCAATTTGAGCTTGCACATTCCATATTTTTAAAAACTGGGTTGCAACTGTCCATATTGTGAAAACTGAAAAGCTGAGGTTGTTTGGCATCTTGGAATATATATAATTGTGTGTTGTGTAATGCTTTTAGTACTCCGGTTGTGGTGCGTGTATATTTATTTTTGTTTATCATTTTGTGGCCTGTTTATTTGAACTTATCAGCTAGAATCTACGGTATTTTTCTCTCACAACAAAACAGCTTCAGCAGGTTTATTAGCCGGCTTTAACACCAGCCGAACTTGCCGTGTTATTTGTTATACCTTGTGAAAATCTGCAACGAACTTGGATAACTGCCAGTAGGATAAAATTGGGGAATCTTAAAGAAGAACCTAGAAGAATATGGCTGAATCCCCAATGTGGCTTCCCTCGTTACAAGCCTCCTCGCTTATCCAGTTTTTGCGGTAATATTAAATGGCTAAACTATTCGGACTAGGTAAATATTCTGAACTAAATTCAAGCATATGGTAAGTACAAAAATCAATATATCATAATTTATCGTTATCCTCGCCATCAATCATGCAGACCACGCAGCATATGTGCACTAAAAGCTGAAATTGATGACATCACATACACGTACTTTTTGAGGTAAAAAAAAAGTAATATCTCCTAAATCAAGTATCATAATTAAAATCAAGTAAAAAAAGTCATATCTCCTAAAATTCAAAAGAAGAGCCCACATGAATATATTTTGATAAAAAATTTTAACAAGCATTTATCTCATGATAAATCTGTATTTAAAGATAATCGTCGAACATCACGTTAACATAACACGAACATCACAAAAAATAGCATAGAACATCATATGTATACTACCTAAACATCATATATGTCATGAAATGTAAAAAATAAAAAATAAAATTAATGAAGTAATTAATTATAGTCAGATAAAAAGAAGAAAAAACGTTACCGATCGCATTAACATTACACGAACATCACTAGATATAGCATAGAACATCATATTTATACTACGTGAACATCACAAAATAACATGAAAATATAAAATAAAATAATAAAATTATTGAAGTAATTAGTTAGAGTCACGTAAAAAGAAGAAAAAAATGCTACCGAACATAAAAAAAATCCTAGAACATCACATCACAAAATACATCGTAGTACCTCACATTTTTACTCGCGGACATCAAAAAATACATCACAGAACATTACGTGTATACTACATGAACATCGTGTGTATCTGTAAATAAAAAAAAGTAAAACATAAAATTATAAATAGAAAAAAGAAAAGGAAAATAAAAAAATAAAATACAAAAATAGAAAAGGAAAACAAAAAGAATAATAAAAAAACCACAAAAATGAAAAAAGAAATAGAAAAAAAGAAATAAAAGAAAATAAAAGATGACAAGAACAATAGAACACAACAAAAAATAAAATGAAAAGAAAAAGGAAAAAGAAATAGTAGAAATGAAAGAAAAAGAAAAAAGGAAAAAAGAAAAAAGAAAAGAAAAAGGAAAAAGAAATATAATAGAATGGAATGAAAAACATACGTGCACAATGCTGCTGGGTGGCTGCATGGCCAGCTGGCTCCCGCGCCTCCTAGAGTGGGTGGCCAGAAACAGAACGCACGTTTCTGTTGGACCGAAAAGATAATAGAAAAAGTGGTCCAATCGTAACCGTAGATGAACGCACGTCTCCTGTCCGACTGGTCGGCACGGAAGATTTCCGGGTCATATGTGGCAACCTTTCCCTCGCCCATATAACTAAGGCTTGAACTGATCCGATCGCCTCTAAGAACACAACCCCAGGGTCATGTTCTAGATAATCTCTCAACGACGAGTTACAATTGGAATTCTTCACCTCCAGACTGCTACCCAAGAGGTTGGGGAGATTTAACTTTTTTACCATTAAAACAAATGGCACCTCCTCGAATAGCTCCTAGCCCAGAACGCGGCAGCTCGTGCCTGGCGAGCTTCGGATCAGTGGCTGCCTCCGCACCGGCGCTTGAGCTCGTCCACGAACTCGTCGAAGCTGCGCCGCGACGAGCCACCGGGCGCCACGACAGCCTCGAGTGTGCCCCTCAGCTTCTTCACCTGCTCCCTGAGCTTGACGTCGTCTTCCCCGCCCATCACCCCTTCGATCCGCGCCTTCACCTCATCGGCGCGCACTGCGCCACGGTCCCCGATGGACATGCCGGCGCGCCACTCCCGCACGACAAGGCGCCGGTTGGTGATCTGGTCCGTGAGCAGCGGGAAGCACAGCATGGGCACGCCCGCCCATGCGCTCTCCAGGATGGAGTTCCAGCCGCAGATCGTGAGAAGCCGCCGCGGCGGCGTGGGAGCTACCTCCACTGGCAAAGACCACGCGGGGCCCACGAGCCCCCGCCCGCCGCGGCGGCGAACCCTCGAGCAGCGGGTCCAGTCGTCGAGCCGACGATGCCCGGCGCATCACCCACGAGCGCGGCGCGCCGCCGCCAACACGCCGCCCCGTGATCTCGTGCGGCTCCTGCTTGGTCACGTCGCGCGTAGCTGCCGAAGGAGATGTAAACACGGAGCCGGGCGGCGGCGCGTCCAACCACCGGGAGCGATCGGACACGGCCCACAAGGGCGTAGCACGCGGCGCTGCCGCGCCGAACCCCCCGGAAGATGGGGCCCACGGCGTAGAAGGGCTCGTCGGCGCGCCAGCGCGGCAATGGTGGACGGCTCCGCTCCTCCACGGTGGTGGCGGACACGCCCGAGCCCAGTGCCCGTAGCACCTCTGGCGAAGCTTCCCCACGGCGCCTATCGCGCCATCTCCCGCAGACACCTCGGGGGCGCGGCCCGGTTGCCACGGCAACCAACCCGCCGCACGCCGCACGTTGTGCGGCGGTCGTGGACACGCGCAGCTCCGCCAGCGGCGCCCTGGCCGCTCCGTCACCATGCGCTTGGATCGAGCACACCGGCGTCCACCATGCCTGCCGGGAGATGTGAGGCCCGTCTTTGAGCGAGCGTCACCTGCCGCTAGCGCGCGCCTGCGTCACCACCGGCGCGGCTGAGCACATCGGCTTCGTCGTCCACGGCTTCGTGTTCTCGCATCTCCGTTGAACTCCTCATCTCCGTCGAGGCCGCCGGCGGCAACCACGCAGCAGCGGCCGCGCACCTCGCGGTCCTTAAGATTCCGCGCGAACCCCCGCGGGGAGACGGAACAGAGGCTGGTGGCTATGGTGGCAGCCGCCCTATCCCCGGCGAACCTGCGCGACGAACTGCGAGCGCGCGCGGGAGGCGGTGGAGGCGTGCGCGGTGGCTCTTCATGATGGTTCAGGGGCAACCATGGTCATTTGCCACACCCCGCTGACTCGGATCCAACATGGAATGCGTTGCTGGTGTGCCACGTGAGCAAATATGGTATTTTCGTATGACTTTTCTCACTCTGCTTATAAAATTGTATTGGCAATCGTTAAAATGTTATTTGAGGAGGTGTCAATTCTTATAACGGTAAAAAGTTAAATCTCCCCAGAGGCTGTGTGTTCATTAAACCGTGCAAAACAACGGATCTTAGGGTGAGGAAGTATATCGGTTTGCGGTCTCATTCAGTTGGTATATATTCGAACGTTTAAACTTGTCCAAAAACAATACCATCGTTACATACTTAATTGACATAGGCAGGACTACTACTAAGCTTAGTTCTGTTGCCTTATCTAATCACATCAAATTCATATTCTCGCCCGGATACTCTGTCTCAAAGTTCATTATCTATCTCATGTTTCCGGTAGCATTGTTGCATCCACCAACTCTACAGCCTCGCTGTAGGCCGTGTTGTGCCCAGGCTCACTAGTCTTGTCGTACCGCATGCGCCCGTGCTAGCTAGCCACAACCCAATGCGCTGCGCCATGCCAAACTCCTACTCTACACCCCACGTGTGATGCCCAGAGTCATGCCACATGTTGGCCTGACGTGCATTGAGAGTAGGTGTGGTGAGAGATTGCATGGGGATGAGGGGAGAGGTAAGGTTGACAAGTGGGGACCCACACGTCAGCGAGTGGAAAGAGAAGAAAGTAGGAGAGGCATTTGATCGATACGAAAATATGATAGCTGAAAAGTGAGTCAAACCTAGTGAATAATATCGATATATATTGAATCAAATGTTAACATTTATAATGTCACCTATCTAATCAACTCTATTGTAAATACCGATACTCAAGGAATGCAAGCATGCAAACCTTTTGCATGTTGATTTTAGTCTTTTGTTAGGAGCGAGGATTATTAACTCTTTATCATTATTACGATTGACACCTCCTCGGATTGCACGTTTAAAGTTGCCACTATATTTTCCCTACTAGAGCGAGAAAACGTCTACAACTTTATCACTTTTGCTCACATGGCATATCAACCATGCACACCAGCATAGATCCGAGTCAGCAGGGTCAGGGTCACGTGAAAATGTCCCCTCCCCTCTTCGTACATGCCAACGTAGCCCGCTTGCCTCTCTCTCTCTCTCTCTCTCTCTCTCTCTCTCTCTCTCCATCGCCAACCACCACTGTAGAAGCCATGGACACGGTGGCCCTCATGGTCGTGCACGCCTAGCTGGGGATTTCGCGGACGCTCGGTCCCTCTGGGTGTAGCTCCTGCACAGCTCCGCCAAGCCTTCTCCTAGCGTACACGCGCCTCAGCCGCTTCAATGATATCCTCCTCGTCGTGCACCTCTCCGCACAAGACCATGATGCAACGCGTGCTCTACACCCGCTTGCCGTTTCCTGCCTCGGTGCCACCTTGGCCTCCGCGTCGACGCCGGTAACCATGACGCTGGCCCATGATTGTGCTCCGTGGGGCAGAGGCTGGCGTGACCATGACGCTAAAGGAGAGTGGCATGAAGACGAGGGCCACGCCTCTGCCGCTTGTGCGCGGTCGTGACGTGAAGTCGAGGGGTGGGAATCAGCCACCTGGGCACAACCGCGGTGCTAGAGGAGAGCAGCGTGAAGATGTGGGCCGCGACCGTGGCGCTAGAGGAGATGGCATGGTACAAACACCGCACGTAGGCACTGCCACCATGTCGAGCAGGCCACGCAGCAGCTGAGCCACCAGGCCGACGAGGCCGTAGCCCGCAGGCCATGCCCAACAACGTAAGGAGGACATGGTGCACGCCGACCAGGGACGGCGGGGTCACGTAGGGCGGTGCGCAGGTGAAGCATGCAGTGTTTTTAAGGCATCACCTAGACGACAAGGCGCTCACAGGGAGTAAGGCATCCCCAGTGCCTAGCCAAAAGTAGCGAGATGTCCATGGAGACTGAAGACCAAACAAAGGAAAACGATAGGGAAAGGCCATGCAACTGCTTCCTCGCTCATCCCCACCAGTAACCTTCATACTAGTCTGGATCAAAGGTGACATCCAGAGTCAAATTTTTTTGCGTGGCTCATTCTGCTGGACCGGCTTAATACAAAATCTATGCTGGTTAGAAGAAATTTACATATTCAGTCTAACAGCTTTTGTGTACTGTGGTTTGATTGGGAGGATGAAACCATTGATCATCTTTTCTTTGATTGCCCGTTTGCCAAGCGATGTTGGGATAAATTGCAGATCAACTGGACTAATGATGCCAACATCCATGACGGAATAATACATAGCATAAACTTGGCCGATATGCCCTTCTTCATGGAATTTTTTCTCATTGCAGCTTGGGAGCTCTGGAAAATCAGGAATACGCAGGTGTTTGATGGGATACCTGCATCCCTCAATGGTTGGTTGCACAACTTCAAGGAAGAAGCTCAGCTTCAGTCCCACGGAATTGGGGAAGCTGATAGACTACTCATCCATTTATGGATTGATGCTTTGTAACTCTTTTTAGTGCTCCGCTTTGTTCAGTTCGCTAGTTCTTCTGTCCTTCAAGTGGTGAGGACATCAACACCAACGATCTAGTCCTATTACTTGCGCCCGTGCTCGTCAACTTAATCATTTAGTAAGTTCACTCTTGAGTTCCTGTCCATCATATTTAGACCATGGAGACACGTGCACTTTTGTTTTGGTTAGCAACCAGGGAGAGGACTGAAAGGGAAAAGGATTCGTGCAGGCTAGATTCGGACTCCAGGACTACGGTCGCATACGGACTCGGATTGAGGCGTTTAAGTACTTCATGGAATCCTTACGAAGTCTATTTTCACATGGATCTGGAATCAAGTCTATATCTGTTATGAGGCCGCCGCAATGACCGAATTACTACAGAAAGATTTTCTGTCTAAAGATACGGTGTCGTCTTAGTTTGGCCCAATGAACCGTGTATCAAGTCGAGTCTATTAGGGACGCGTCCTAGGGTTGGAGCACGATCCCAACACCTTGGTGGTTGTCCCTCCACCTTCATATACCCATTAGCCGCCACCAAGAACAGGGGGGTTTTGTTTAGATTAAGTTTAGCTCTTGCTACTTGCTCGTAAGCGCGCGTGCTGGATCAGCCGCCCGTCTTCTTGTCTCCGGAACCCCACCTTATTTGAGATTGAGTTTGAAACCTTCATCTTCATCTAGTAAATTCAGTACTTGTTATACTTGTTCTTGCTATTTCTTCGATTGCTTGCAGGACGAGTGCTCTAGTGATCGGGTGACGCGCTCCACAAGATCACGACAGCCATTGGATGTGGTGTATCAGTTGCTAAGGTGCAGCTTGGAAGGCTGTAGTTGGGCCGTGAACATCGTCTTCATCCACCAGTCGAGTCATCTCACGCCCTCTCATCGAAAGTTCGGGATTCAACCCTAGTGGGTTCATACCAGTTGGTATCAGAGAAAGGTTTATCGGTGAGAGACTTTGAATCCTTCGCTGTTTTTAATTTTTCTTATTGTCTGTAAAAGCCAAAAAATAGTAGGTTAGTTTACCTGCAATCCTATAAACCCTTTGAGCCTTTGCTTGCACTGCTTAGTTAGGGCTTGTTGAGTTTTTGGTTTGCATCGGTTGTGTCGAGTTGCTGGTCTTAGTTTTAGTCCTTTAGAGTTTTGAGTTCTTATCACGTTCTAGTCATAGCCGTGAGCTACCATATAAACCTTCTGTTGGCTGAATCCGAATACATCCTTGTGTTCAAGTCTGAGTAGGAATCTGAGTTTATTTTGAGTCCGAATTGATAGCTGCCTTATTGCTGTTTTGAGTCCGAATCTGAGTACATCTTTGTGTAGCAGTAGTTCATATCTATACTCAACTTCTCCACGTCCAACATATCCATATTAGCTCAGCTTACTCTAGAGTCCTAATCTTGTTAAAGACCGAGTTGGAATCGGTGTGGAGTCCGAATTGGTTGCTGCGCCGTGTTACCAAATCTTGTTGCTGTTTGCACTTGTGCTATATATATTGAAGTGTTCCAGAAAGACAGCAGAAGTCCATACCTGTACTCGACTCCTCCACATTGTGCATATATATTGGCTCGGTTTTACTCTAGAGAGAGAGAGAAAAAGAAAAGAAAGCAAAAAAAAGAAAGAAAAAAACAAGAAGAAAATGGATTGTTCATTGTGCTTCTTCATTGTTTCCGGTGGTGTGTTTGTGATTTCCTTTGTGTCCAGGCTCGCGCCTCTAGCATGGTTTAGGCTAGGACTAGCATAGTACCACCGTTGAACGATTATTCAGCTTGCTTTTGTGACTAACATGCTGCTAGTACTTCCTTGCTTCAGCCCGCCTATAGCTCCACATATTTGGACTACAGCTTGATAGGTATTATTGTTGCGGCACCGATACACTTTATTCCATGGTTGCAGACTTATTGGTTGCCGTCCCCTCCTGTTGAGCAAGGTAAGAATTGGTAAGAGCTTGTGTAACGGGTTGAGAGTGAGCATCTTGCTGTAGCTACATCCTAATAGCTGTAGGGTTTTTTTACTTCTTCACCTATTTTCTTGTTGTCCTTGTCTTCTAAACCATATCAGGGTTAGAGGATGTTAACAAGATGCCACAATCTCCTCGCACCAAGGGCGTCATTCAATATTTTACAAGGCAAGTGCAGCTGCATACGAAAGGACTTGATCAAGATTTATAGGTGACCAATGATAAGATTAGGCAACTGGAGGCATCTGTTGCCCGTATGGACAGAAGCCTTGCTGCTCTTCTGAAGCATTTTGATGACTTCCACACGAAAGACAAAGAGTAGCATAATGAAGACAACAAGGACGAAGAGCGACTCGAAGATAATTATGATGATGATTATACTGCTGATACTGAACATGATGCTCATGACACTCATGACCGGCATCGCCTACGCCATAATTGTAGAGGTATGGGTGGTCACCGCCGACGCGAGGTACCCAATAATAATGATGCTTTCAGTAAAATTAAATTTAAAATATCTTCTTTTGATGGTAAGTATGATCCTGATGCATACATTTCTTGGAAAATTGCTGTTGACCAAAAGTTTGCATGTCATGAATTTCCTGAGAATACACGTGTTAGAGCTGCGACTAGTGAGTTTACTGACTTTGCTACTATTTGGTGGATAGAACATGGCAAGAAAAATCCTAATAACATACCACGAACTTAAAATGCTTTGAAACGAATCATGAGGGCCAGGTTTGTTTCTTCTTACTATGCACATGATTTGTTAAATAAATTGCAACAACTGAGATAGGGTGCTAAAAGTGTAGAAGAATATTATCAAGAATGGCAAATGGGTATGTTGCGTTGTAATTGAGATGAGGATGAGGACCCTGCTATGGCAAGATTTTTGGGTGGGTTAAATTGTGAAATTTAGGACATCCTTGCGTATAAAGAATACACTAACGTAACCCGTTTGTTTCATCTTGTTTGTAAAGCTGAAAGGGAAGTACAGGGACGATATGCTAGTGCCAAGAATAATATTTCTGTAGGGGGGTTTGTTTAGATCAAGTTTAGCTCTCGCTACTTGCTTGTAAGCGCGCGTGCTGGATCAACCGCCCGTCTTCTTGTCTCTGGAACCCCACCTTATTTGAGATTGAGTTTGAAACCTTCATCTTCATCTAGTAAAATCAGTACTTGTTATACTTATTCTTGCTAGTTCTTCGATGGCTTGCAGGACGAGTGCCCTAGTGGTCGGGTGACGCGCTCCATAAGATCGCGGCAACCATTGGAGGTGGTGTATCAGTTGTTAAGGTGCAGCTTGGAAGGCTGTAGTCGGGCCGTGAACGTCGTCTCCATCCACCAATTGAGTTATCCCACACCCTCTCATCGAAAGTTCAGAATTCAACCCTAGCAGGTTCATACCAATAAGTATCCCTATTTTCTGAGGCCATTGGCCCTCTCTTTAATGAAAAAGCTCTTTTAACACCGTGGGGAACTCCCCCATGGTTTTGTGTAAAAAAACAGGTGCCACCCGGGTCATGTGCGACGGAGGCGGCAGTTGATCGAGATGGGGATCCAAGGGAGTAGCAGCAAGAGCTAGGGAAGGAGCGGAGGGCAGGCTGGGCGCGTGCAGCAAAGAGCAGCGCGAGGGAGGATGGGTGGCGCAGCATCTGTGGAAGCCCTTGTTTAGTTGGGTGGATTTGGATTTTAGGGCTACTGTAGCCCGTTCGTTTTTATTTGGTAAATAGTGTTCAAACATGGACTAATTAGGCTCAAAACGTTCGTCTCGCAATTTCCCACCAAACTGTGCAATTAGTTTTTATTTTCGTCTACATTTAATGCTCCATGCATAAGCCGCAAACATTCGATGTGACAGATACTGTAGCAACTTTTTGGATTTTGGGGTCCAACAACTAAACCAGGCGTAAGCCATGAGGGAGGAGATGCGGCGGCCCCGCACCTGTGTGAAGGAGGGAGACGTGACGTCTCCTGCGTGAAGGAGAAGCAACCAGGCGGCGTGTGTGTGCCTCCGTGAGATGAGCTGAGAAGGGATAAGTACAAAAGGGGCACTCGTGGGATGTCCAGTGAGAGCCAAACACTTCTCTTTACATTTGCTCTTTTTTGGTTTTTCTGTTTCCTTTTTTTCTTGCCTATTCCCTGCTACTATTTTCCTATTTCTTAGAATGGTAAGGCATCGCCTTGCCTCGCCTAATGACCGCTTAGGTATCACCTAGTCGACTCGAATGAGTGGATTGTCATGTCTCATCTTGACGCCTTAAAAACCATAGAAGCATGTTGCGTAGCGAGCCGTATTCGAAGCTGTCAAGAATGCCGCCACCGACATGAGCGGCCAAAAACAACGATATATACACTGTAGCTAGCCTGCTATGTGCATTCGATTCCAGTCACATGCGTGCCATATTCCTTCACGAATTTAATTTTGTCCCGCCATCGTTGTTCTTGTTTGATTTGTTTCTTATTCGCCCTTCTTTGAAAGACTTGATGATTCCAACTCCACTCCCAACCGTAGCACAATTTTACATGAGATTAACATATGCATGTATCTGCTTGTGAAATCAACTATATTCGGGAGAGCTTCAAGTCATCTAGATCTGTAGATTCAGCGTAGAGCAGTTTTACCGTGGATCTGTGCTCCCATCCTGGAGTAGACAAAAAGTTTGACTAACAGAGCAGATCCAGATCCACGAAATTGAGGATTCGATGGATTTGCCCACGAAAAAAATAATGTTGTATTTTTTTATAACTCAAATGCAATATCTCAACATTAATTTTAATGAGCGTTATAAAATTAACGCTCAAAGTCCGAATCTTCACTAGTATTATGCTCACGAATAAAATTACGCAACACCATATAAGCAACCACGACCATTTTCTGCTCCCACGTTGACGTAGGATAGTTGGGCACGGACAAGCCCCAAGTCCGACTGACCCACTCAATCCGCTACCGATGCAGGTGCCGCCGCCGCCGCCGCCGCGCACACTACCGCTCCCGCATTTCACGCTTCCGCCTCTCGCCGGACAGGATCACCTCTTCGTGGCTGCACTCCGCTCCCACCTCTCCGCTTCGCCGCCCCCTACCGCTGCCTCCCTCTCCCGCTTCCTCCCCGGCCTCACCCTGCTCCGCCTCTCCCACCTCGTCCTCCTCCTCGCCGGGCGCGTCTCGCGTCCTCCGCACAGCCTCCTCACCGCGCTCCTCCCCTCACCACCTCCACCGCTCCCGCTCGCCATCCTGCTCCATTCACTCCCGCCACGCCGATGCAGTGAGCTCCTCACCTCCGTGCTCCCCTCCGTCTTGCCACGAGCCTTCCCGGACCTCCTCCACCACCTGCTCCTCACCGCCCGCCTCGCTGCTGGGACGCAGTGCGCTGCCGCGGTCCCGGCGATAGACGTCCTCTTCTCCGCATGCGCGCGCGACAAGAAGCTCTCCCGGGCCACGCTTACCTACCGCGCCATGCGCGCGCACGGCTTGCTTCCGACGGTCGAGTCATGCAATGTCTTCATCTCAGCCGCGCTCCGCCTGCGGCGCCCAGAGATAGCCATATCCTTCTTCCGAGAGATGCGCCGGTGCCGGGTCTCTCCCAACGTGTACACCGTCAACATGGTGATGCGGGCCAACTGTGTCCTGGGGCGTGTCGTGAACGCGGCGCAGTTGCTCAACGAAATGCCGGGCTGGGGATTTAGCAGGACTGCAGCCAGCTTTAACACGCTCATCGCTGCCTACTGCCATGACAGTGGTGGCATGGAGACCGCACTGCGGCTGAAGGAGAGGATGGAGCGTGAAGGTCTTGTGCCGAATGAGGTGACCTACAACACGATCGTGCATGGGATGTGCAAGGAGGGCAGGATGTGGCAGGCGAGCCGGGTGGTGAACGAGATGAGGGTGAAGGGTGTGACGCCAAACACTATCACTTTCAACACACTAATTCATGGTTATGTGACTCTTGGTGATAACGAGGGGGCGATAAGGATGCATGAGGAGATGGTGAAGGCCAGAGTTGGTGCTGATATGGTAACCTACAATGCACTCATTCTCGGGCTCTGTAATGAAGGGAAGACAAGGAAGACCGGGAAATTGGTTCAGGAGCTTTGTGCTGCCAAACTTGAACCTAATGCATCAACTTTCTCGGCTCTGATTATTGGCCAGTGCAAGAAGCAGAACTCAGAGCGTGCATTAGATCTGTTGAATGCAATGAAGAAAGCTGGATTTCAACCGAATTACTACACATATAAGATTGTCGTATCCACTTTCTCTAAGAACAAGGATTTTGAAGGCGCAGTTGATGTTTTGAAGGATATGCTCAAGAGGTGCATTGCTCCTGACAAAGCCTTGTTGCATGAGTTCTTCGAAGGCCTCTCTGAGGCTAAAAAATTGCACCTGGCAGCTGATCTTCGTTCAGTGGCTAATGGGGCAAGATTTATTTCTGATGTCTACTATACTGGTGATTATAGGAATATAGATGAAGAGAAAATAACATGTTAAGATGCATCCTGAACTACAAAATCTCATCGATATGTACGATTTGTTGGCTAAGTGGAACCAGATTGATCAAAGTAGTCAAGAAGTCCAATCTTTATTAACACGTTGATACTAAACTTGTTTAGGAATCTGCTGAGGAGTTTTTTACACTCATCCTGTTCAGCAATTCTTGCTGTAGCTTGTTCATGATGGATTGCCAAAATCCAAATGCTGTGGAACAATAGTATGGCAAAACTTTGGGTGCAGTAGAAACCTGGTGTTCTGCCTACCACAAAAAGGTGACATCTGAGAGAAAAAAAACTATAATCAGAGGTTGGTAACTCTGTGGCCTTGCTCTTTTCTGCCAGGAGACCTTTCTGAAACTACTTTGAACTGTACTCTCTGCCATTGTTTACATGTTTGGCATATGAATACTGTACTACTTAAGAGAGGCAGGTAGAACATCTCTAGTCATCCTTATGTTGCATGATATACATCGAAACAAATTGTAGTTATAATTATTTGGAAGTGTACATCTGAAAAGTTAAAGTTTTGTAAACTTTTTTTCTCCCTTGAACGTGCATGAGCACGGGATTCATTAAGCAGGAGTAGAAAAAACATCGTAAGTACAAATTGTAGCAGCAGTAATCAACGGATTACTAAAGCTACTCGGCCGTTTGGCACCACGGGGTTGTGATTTACAGACAACTAGATTTACGACCGTTGAACAAACGACATTACAGCAAAGCTAGCAACGACAGCAGCTGCCTGTAACCCGCCAAGCACCATTCGTTGGCCTCTTCTTGAATTCTGATAGTTTTGCAAACTTTCATCTGAACACCGAACAAATTCTTCTAGTTTGCAACTTTAAATTGGCAGTTGACAGATCTTGTCAATGAAAACAAAGCGTAGATGTCCATTTCTGATGTATGCAGCCTGAGACAAGAAACAGATTTATACATGTGAAGGTCGAAATCTCAAAGTGGTGCCACTTTGTTTTGAATCTGTCATGGTCGGCAAGACATATAAGGCAATCGATTAGTTAAAGTAGTGAGGGGCAATAGGCCCAGTTGTTATAGATTAAGTTCCATGGGCTAAGCCCATTAGCAATTGTAACCTCCCTTATATATATGAGGGAGACTCTTAATGAGAAGGCAAACAAGTTTAGGGTTAATCTCATTATCCCTCCCCCTTCTCCATTCCTTTTCTCAGCGCGCCGCCTCTCCTTTTCTTCTTTGCCGCCACCAACTCCTCCTCTGCCGCGCCTAGCCAAGCCGCTGGCCCCTGCTGCTAGGCTGCTGCCGCTACCAGCCTACCGCGCCACCGCCCTGCTCAGCCAGCTAGGCCGCCGCCAGGCAGCCCTAGCTAGCTGCTAACCTTCCTGTTGGTCGCAGAGGCGATCAAGCGACTGACAATTGGTATCCGGAGCCACATCGTGAACAACTCCATGGGGGACATTCGCGACGTCACCGATCGCTGGGCAAAGGTGTTCATAATTTTTTTTTTGCAACCAGGAGGAAGAACAGAGATACGTACCACCCCAAACACTACTAGAAATATCCACTTCTACGACGAAAATCTTAATGACGAATACGAAATCGTCATAAAAAATCGTTTTTATGATGAATATTTTGGTTTCGTCATAGATCATCGATGACGATCCTCGAACCCCCTTATCTATGACGAAATCGGATGTCGTCACAAAAAACGTCATAGAACAGCATATGGTTTCACCACAGATTACTCACGCGACTGTTTTTGCTTATCGATGACGATCTTATTGTGAACTGTGACGACCAGGGCTTCGTCATTGAACTAATTATACATCTGTGACGAATAATATTAGATCTGTAACGAACGACACTTCGTCATCAATCTCCACATGGTCCTTTCTCTATCTGCCGTGTACATGTGGGACCTACAGTTACTCATCCGTGACATTGGCAATTCGTCACAAAAGTCTCCGCTCGGTCCTTTTTCATCATAAAAGTCTCCACTCGGCACTTTCTCCATCCGACGTGTACCTATGTGACCCTTCTCCATCCGACCTGTGGGACCCCTGTGGGACCCGATGACTTGCGTGTCACGTGTACCAGTGGGACCTTTCTCCATCTCCATCCGACCTGTGGGACCCGATGACTTGCATGTCACGTGTGGACCCTTCTCCATCCGACCTTTGAGACCCGACAGCTTGCGTGTCACGTGTACCTATGGGACCTTTCTCCATCTTTATCCGACCTATGGGACCCGATGGCTTGCGTGTCACTTGTTACCGCTGGGGTTTAATAAATTCAAACTAAAAAAAACCATGAGACCTGGGAGTCGAATCCGGGACCTAGAGCAAGGAATAGACCGTCTTCACCATTGTGATAGATGCCTGGTTGTGTTGACATGTCTTTGGAGTTCTCATAGTAGTATATGTTCTCTGTGTGGATAGGTTGACTTATATATTAGATATATCCCCTGCAAGTGGAAATAAATCTGTGTCCGTTGGACTTGCGGCGGCGGCGACGAAGGAGGATCCCCGGTGTGCTGCTGTGGTGGCTCAGGCGTCCTTTTGGAGGCTAGGCGGCGGGTCTTCCCGGTGGAGCACGGTGGCATTGGCGTTTGTTTCCGTCGTGTGCTGTGGCAGAGGCGACAGATCTGATCCGCATGTCTCCTTTCTCACCTTTTCCTGTTCGCTTCACTGTTTTGGTCCTTGCTTGAACATGAGGTATACAAGAAACATTGTAGCGTTGTAGATCTGGTTAGGCCAATGCTGATGAAAAGAACTAGGAGGTGGCACTGGTTGGTTTTCTACTGGTGTCTTGGCTTTCTGCATATGTTCAGTGTCCTTACTGTAAATGTCTGTGTGTAACTAGGCCTGTTAATTGTTAAGTGCTTGCTTGATTATACCTATCTGTCTAGGCAAACATACGAGCCCTTCGCTTTTGCCTTAAACTATTTTTTTCTGTCAAGTGCTTGCTTGATTCTATATTTCTGTTTTGTATGCTCTAGTGCCACTAGTGAGTCCTTATGATATATTGATCTTGTAACATATCTGAGGCCACATTTTTGTGCCAATGATGTCTACATTGCTGTTGGATGTATTAGGATGCAGCTCATATGTTTGTTTTCTATGTCTTCTCCTTGTTGACAACCAAGTTATCCATTTAGTTCGAAACATGATGAAGGCATCGAAAGCAAATCAATGCTTTGTGTCCATCATTTACATGACTGTGGCCACTAATGTTTAAGCTGCACATGTTGCTACTGATGCCAATGATGATCACTACCACTTGTTCACTGACATTCTACTTGTGAAAACTTAGGCAGCCTGTTTGGGTTGTGCAGATTTGAGATGAGTTGTCCCTGCTATGTTGTGTTCAATGGCCGTGAGCTAGGAGTTTACTACAACTGGCCTGACTGCCAGGAACAAGTTCATAGGTTTCGTGGTGCTTGTTATAAGAAGTACAACTCCTATGAAGAAGGAATTGCTACCTTCAAGTCAAGAACCAACTCAAATCCACCCTTAGATCATGATGATGACTTCTATCTTCAAAACCCAACAGCTGCTCCACCCTCTTTGTCCTTCAAAACTGTTGTAATTGTAGTCCTCTTAATCTTTGTCTGTCTCCTATGGAAGAAGCTCTAAGCTCATGTACTGATTGGAGTGTGATGGTTAGACTTGATTTAGCTAGAATTGTAGCTCCATTAACTGCTACTCTAGTTTGAGTTATATATATCTATGTGGTGCTACTCTAAATTTAGATGAGGTCGTACCATAAAAATTATTAATGGTTGTTAAAGTTGCACTTTGGTATGAATTGTGCACTTCACTGATGGATCTTTGTTGGATTATTTTACTCCTTAGTGATCTCATTACTGAGCAAGCTCTCATCCTACTGCATGCACACTGACGAAATAGAGGAAGCCCCCAACAAGAGGAACGCACTGGCCAGCCTCATGGACGATGTCTTTCTCGAGATCCTCCACCGTCTCCCCGCTCACTTCTTGTTCTGCTGCAAATGTGTCTATCGCTCCTGAAATGCCTCATCTCAGACAACCATAAGTTGATGCCCCAGACTATGGCCGGCTTCTTCTACAATGGAATCTATGGCCAATGAAACTTCACCAGCATCACTGGTGTTTACCCCTCTTTGTCCTTCTTGCCCTTCGCCATGAACAATGTAGCTGTCTTAGATTGCTGCAACGACCTCATCCTATACTGGTGCCTTAGGGCTGATGGATACCGCTATGTCATCTACAATCTGGCAACGCAGAAGTTGAAGGTACTACCGCCTAAAATCCATTCTGTTGGTGAGGCTCGATTGGGGTGCGAGCCAACAACCTCCTCGCACTTCCATGTGCTTGAATATATGGAGGAGGATGGTCAGTGTGTGGGTGTGGACATCTACTCATCTAAAACTATAGCATAGATCTTTAAGGAATCTAAATAGGGCGAGGAGGCTGAGTTGACATTTTCAAAATCAGCAACTGTGTTTCTTAACGGTTGTCTGCACTATATTGGGTTCTACAAGGGTTACCGTCGTATACTTGCTGTGGATATGGAGGGAAAGACATGGAGGAAAATTCCTAATAGGCCACGTGGTTTTTCACGCTCCATCCATCAAGCTCAGGGTCACTTGTGTCAATGTATTGGTGGTCGCAATATGTCCAAGCTTTCAATCTAGATCCTTGAAGACTATGGTACTAATAATAAATGGACATTGAAGCATACTATCAGCCTGTGTAAGTTGTTTGGAAAGATTAAGAAACAATTGGGTTACTTTGATTTTGAGTCGTGCTACACAACGGTTATAGTTCACCCAGAATGGAATTTGGTTTTCTTTGTTGGGTGTTGATGGTAGTTAACAACCATTATAAACCGTCAATATAACATTCATAAGGGCATAAATATAATCACCAACGAACGTTTCGGGGTTTAAACTAACAAATTCCATGAGTTTTGGTGAATCTATATTTTCTGTAGGGTTTATCCAGAAAACCGTCAAGGTGGACCTACATGTCAGAATTAATCGCGT